CCAAACCCTAAAACCCTCAACCCTAAAGCCCTAAACCCTAAAACCCGCAACCCTAAAACCCTAAAACCCTAAACCCTAAAACCCTAAAACCCCTAAAACCCTAAAACCCTAAACCCTAAACCCTCCCCAAAACCCTAAACCCCTAAAACCCTAAAACCCTAAACCCTAACAAACCCTAAAACCCTAAACCCCTAAACCCTAAACCCCTAAAACCCTAAACCCTAAGAAACCCTAAACCCCTCACAAACCCTATAGTACCCTTTAAAGGAAGCCTAGGAACCCTATATAGATCCCTTTGAAGGAACCCTAAACTCCTAACAAACCCTAAACCCCTTTAAGGAACCCTTATAGATCCCTTTAAGGAGCCCTTTAAAGGAACCCCAAAACCCTAAGAAACCCTATAGTACCCTTTCAAGGAGGCCTAGGATCCCCAAAGATCCCTTTAAAGGAACCCTTTAAGGAACCCTAGAGCAGACCTGCTCCGCGAGCTGCTCGTGGTAGGTTCTCGAGGCGACTTGTCGATCCATGTCCTCCGAGATCCACCGCTTGGGGCTTAGGGCTTAGGGTCTAAGGGGTTAGGGTTTGGGGTTTTAGGGTTTTAGGGTTTAGGGTTTGAGGGTTGGGGGTTGAGGGTTTAGGGGTTAGGGGTTAGGGTTTAGGGTTTTAGGGTTTAGGGTCTAGGGTTTGGGGTTTGAGGGTTTTAGGGGTTAAGGGTTGGGGGTTAGGGTTTAGGGGCTTGGGTGTCATCTCTTTTGGTGGTTTAGTTATGGCACAGTCTAGCTTAGGAAAGTTTAGCATCGTTTCATATAGTGTAGTATGGTTGAGTAAGGTTTAGTATAGTTTTGCATAGTTTTGTAGAGTTAGCACAGTATAATATTCGTTCCTACACATGTGACTCCCGAATTTACAGTGATCAACATACGAATCCTAGCTACAACCTCGCGGAAATAATAATCATGAGCATGGTCATCCTTGTCATCTCGTCGTCGTCAATCACTTTTGCAATTGCTGCTCAGCTTCCCCAGCTGTTCATCTATGTAGCATAGTACCACGAGCAGTAGCTGCTTTAAGTTCGTTGCTCATCGAACCTGAACGGCAGAAGTGCTACAAGACAGCATTTTTCACTGCAGCAATTATTAGCAGCAGCAGAGAACATCGAAAGCATGACGGTGGCAGCAGCTGAATGAGCTTCCATGCAAAGAGGAGTTATTAAAATAGTCGCAAGAATACTGATAGATGTAATATAAAAACCTCAGGCACTACAGCCCTCAAATCCAGAAACCTTCGACCCCCAAAGCCTCAACCCCCTAAATCGAAATCACTCAACCCTATGATCTAAACTCCTTTGAGGGTTTAGGGTTTAGGGTTGAGGGTTTAGGGCCTGAAGCCCTGAACCCAACTCACTTTTTCGAGGTCCCCCCCGGCAATCGGTCCTCATCGGTGTAGGTTCTCAGCACCTTGAGGCCACTGTTCGCCGAGCCCACGGCAACCACAGGCCTCTCTTGGGAAGCTCTTCATCCGAATATTAGGGCTTAGGGTTGGGGTTTAGGGTTTAGGGCTTAGAGTTTAGGGCTTAGGGCTTTGGGTTTAGGGTTCAGGGGTTAGGGTGTAGGGTTTAGAGTTTAGCCCTGCCCAACCCTGCTCTATTTGGGCGGTTTTGGACGTTTTGCCCCCTGCCCTGCCCTGCCCTGCCCTGCCCTGCCCTGCCCTGCCCTGCCCTCCCTGCCCTGCCGTGCCCTGCCCTCCCTGCCCTGCCCTCCCTGCCCTGCCCTGCCCCAGGGTTTAGGGCTTAGGGTTGAGGAAATGAGGGAAGGAGGAGGAGTCGCGGAGGCCTCGAAATCCTGAACTGCAGTAGCTCCGTGCTCCCAAAGCATGGTAGCGCCAGGGATCTATAATGGTCTTATAGAGGTTTCTGTAGGGGTGCTTTACGGTGAAGGCCGAAGGTCAGAAGGTTTGAAATCTTCCCCAGAAGATAAGATAACGCCGCGGAAGACACGACTTCAGATCTGATTTTGGATGGGCTTAATCAACTTAAGGCTTTCGGGTTTAAGGGTTTTAGGGTTTAGGGTTTAGGGTTTAGAGTTTAGGGTTTAGGGCTTTAGGGTTTGGGCCTGGGCCCGTAAATCTTAGAAAGTTGGGTCTTGGGATTTCAAGCATTCTGCTTCGGCATATCCACCTGGGAAGCTCCACCTACTGCAGGGCTTTGGGCCTCAAGGCACAAGCAAAAATCCTGCATTTAGGATTCTACAAGGGTTCAATTGAGGTTCTATCAGGGGTACATATAGAGCCTTTTATTTAGGTTCTCTGCAGGTATGAAGGTGTCCCTGCCAGACCCTCGCAGTCTTCTTGCCTGTGTTGAAGGCCCTTGCTCAAGGACCAGTGCAGCCCCGTGGGCCCGTAAACCTTTGCTACCAGTCCAGGAAGTTCGGAAGCAACCAGGGAACCCACGAGGGACCACACAAGAGTGTGCCAGCCCAGGTTTTCCTTTTCGACTCTGAAGTCGATCGGACTTCGAACTCGAGGTATTCTTCGAGCAGGCTGGTGCTTCTTTGGGTACTTTGAACAACATCCTGAAAGGCTATGCTACACCCTCGAGGGGTTTAGGGGTTAGGGTAAGATGCCGTGCAGCCTAGGTCTTGCATCACCCTCACCAGGGTCCAGGCGACTCGGTGTCCAAGTCCTCGTCGGAAGCCTCGGCAGAGTTGTATGCATCTGGCTCCGAACTCATCGAGCTGGACATGGCATGAGACAACACTCCATGACGAAATCTGGAAGAACTGAAAGGGCTTTAGGGCTTAGGGGTCTATCCAGGATCCGGAACATTGAAGCCCAACACGCCCTCGACCTGGTTGGTCCGTCGTACTTCTGTCCGTGTGGCTATCATGCCCCCGTCACAGATCCACACTTCACGCGCTGCAGCTGTTGCTAGCATGTTCTGCAAAAGTGCTACATCACGATCATGGTGATGACGGTGATGATGACGATGATGATGATGATGGTGATGATGCCCGTGATGAATGTGATGACCGTGATGATGTTGATGACGTGATAGTGGTGATAATGGTGACGGTGATGACGGTGATGATGATGATGATGATGATGGTGGTGGTGGTGATGATGGTGATGGTGATGGTTACGATGATGATGGTGATGGTGACGACGATGACGACGACGACGACGACGACGACGACGATGATGATGATGATGATGGGTTTTATGACGATGAAGATGAAGATGATGGTAGCGAGGTTGAACATGGAGTTGATGATAGTTGTTGGAGGATTGTGATGTGGATGTCCATGCTGCTCGGATGATGCCGATGGCTCAGAAACAGTGATGAAGACGATAGTGATGCGACACTAACGGATGCAATGCATTGACAGTGTCGCCGCTGGTCATGCTGATCATGGTGATGGCACTGCTTTGAGGTGTAGGCAAGCGCCACATGACGCAATGCTTTCTGTCTGCCTACGGCGATGCTTAAGTCCGAAAGGGACAACGAACACCATGAGCCCCAAGTCCAAACCTACACATGCCCGTTATGAGCCATTCTGCCGACGCCCTCCACCCAAACCCCTGGTAGCCTAAACCCTAAAACGCTTCGACCCTTCAACCCTCAACACCCGAGACTGCAATGCCCCAAACCCTGAAAGCCCAAACCAAGACCAGAACCGGCGCCCCAACGATACCCCAACACCCTGAACCCCAACACCGTCCGTGCCTTGGGAGATGTGCGCAACCGCCGTAGATTCAAAGAAGGGCTCCTTGAAGGTCTTAGGGTCTAGGGCTGCAGGGTTCAGGGTCCTAGGGTTTGGAGTTCGAGGTTTTACGGATCGTTGCTTGCGGGTTTAGTGGGGATATAGGATGTTCGGGAATATTTCCTACTTTCAACATGCACCCAGGATCCAGTAGACCCCTTCTGGCTTGTGGGGGGTCGGGAGGGTTGCTTCTACGAAACAGCTCTGTTGATGGAGCGCCCCATGCAGCATGTCGCCGAATGTGACCATGCCTCTCTGGTCTTAAGTCAAAAATGCTCTAAACCCTCAACCCTAAACCCTAAACCCTCAGAAAGCTCCAGAGCTTCACGATACACCCTTCGAAGCTGGAGCTGAAGCACAGACCTCTGTGGAAAAAACAAGCCGACCGGGCCGTTTGCATGGCCCCTCCTTCTGTAAACCCTAAACCCTAAACCGTAAAATCCCCTGAGCTCCGCGTTTTGACGACGTGGCATGATCCCTAGTGATCTTCAAGCTCCTGTTCACATGGGTCATGGGTATACTAAAGAACCCCAAAAAAAACCTAGTCCTTGAGCCTCAACGATCGTAATCGGAGCTCGTCGTAGGAATCTACTATCACATCAAGCCCTAAGCCCCTATAACCCACAAGCCCTACCCCCCAAACCCTTCTCAACAAGATCTAAGCCAAGAAACCCTAAACCCTAAACCCCGAAACCCTAAACCCTAAACCCCTAATCGTAGGCGTCTTGGCTGTCAGGTGTGGTAGTTTCCCCCGTGGTCCCACACTTGCACCCTTGACCCTGCGTGGTTTCGTGCAAAACCCGCGACTGGCTTTCCGCTGTACCTCGGCAAGGAGGCGGTTGGCTTCGGATCCCCACCAATCGGTGGCTGGATTTCGTTTTGTGAATTTTCCTGGAGGCTGTACCTTAGGGAGGCCTCCCTGGATCATCCCCTCCCTTAGGAGGCTGGATTGTGGGTGTATTGTCAGGGCAAAGTTGTGGATGGTTTTCTGGTACATTGTGCTGTGTGCCTGCTACTTTGCTCGGGACGCCACTTTTTCGCAAGAGGTTCGCGGAGGCCTCGAGACACCGGAAAGCTCGGAGGCAGAGGACAAGGGCGCGAACTTTGTTGAGATTTTTCCTGGAGGGTTATTCATTCCCGGAGGAGGCAGTGGAGATTGCTGCTTTCAGACTCGGGGGTCACCATTCAGGAGTTGGCCGCCCGGCGAGTTTTCACAGGAGAGATGACGTCTACTCCGTGGCAATGTGGTTGTGGAAGCCTCAACAAGTACTCGGCGGCATTCTGTCCACAGTGTGGGACAGCTTGGCAGGCGCGGAGTACGGCTTCCCCTCGGCGCAGAAGGGACACCGAGTGGTCGGGATGGGAGTCCTACACCCATACGGCGCATTCGGCGGCCCCGTGGAAGGACAGCACAATCAGACCCTCTTCCCCAAGGAGAAAGCGTGGTGGATGGGGCGTACAGCAACCAAAGGGCAAGCCCAAAGGAGCTCCCAAAGGGGGCAAGTCAGGTGGCAAAGGCAAGTGGGAGACACAAGATACGTCCCCTTCGGCCCCACAGATCGAAAGCTTGCCAGCAGCGCCGTCAGCGACGGCACCTCCACTCCCGAAGAAGGCGGTGGAAAGCAGCGGTGCAGCTCCCTCGCAGGAGAAGGCGCAGCTGGATACTTTGGTATCCTTGCTTGCAGAGGCGGGGACAAATGTGCCGGAGCCAGTGAGGGCTCTGGTGGCAGAACACCAGCGCAATGCCACACAGAATCTGACGCGGTCACTACACAGGGCGGTCGCGGATCAAAGCCGTGCAAGAGCGGAACTCCAAAAGCCCAGAGCGAACCGCTCTCAGTTTTTGGCAGCGTGGAAGGGGTATATCGACCAGTTGACGGCCCTTTTGGAGGCTCAGCTCAACGACCAGGCGGTGGCCCTCGAGAAGTTCAACACGGCGGAGATCGACTGGCTGGCGTCAGAGAGAGAGGCGACGATCGCCATCGCGAGAATGGCATCGAAAGACCAGGCCATCTCGGAGGAAGACCAGGAGATGGAAGACGGGGAGTTCCGTGCCTCGGAGGCGGCGGAAACAGAGGCACGTCTCCAGAAGGAGACCGAGGAACACCAGTCTGCAGGCCGACACCTGCACAATGCTCTCCAGGTTGCCAGGCAACAAGCTGCGGAGCACCTCAACAGGCACCAGCGAGAAGGGTCGAGGACCCCCAGGCGCAAGAACGATGTGGAGCCCGACGGACAGCAAGTCGACAAGGACAAGGAGGAAGCCACAGGCAAGCCCTCTGGCGGTACGGCTACCACACCCTTCAAGCTTGGTGGGTCGCAAGCGCAGGCCAAGCTGGCTCCCGAGGCGCACCCTCAGAAGGCCTAGGCGCAGCAGCTGCGTATGGGCCGGGTCACAGCATTGTTGAGGAATCCGATTTTGTGGGGTCAATTTCTTGTTCGGTCATTGGCCTTTGCATGCAGCTTGATGTTCAGACTCAGTGGTGTCTGCCGGATGGCTATGTCGGCACCACCATGTGGGAAGATCCGAGGCTTCGACCAGGAAGCAAGGCGAGGCCGTTGGCTCTGGACTGTCTATTGGCAGGTGGTGGAGCTTTCTCTGACCGCTCGATTGTTGGAGAGGCCCCCTCTGGAGGAAGCGGCTCAGCTCGCACTTGTGCGCCCACGTTCCAGACTCCGGCATGTCACATGGCTCTGACTGCTGCTGCGTCTGACGAAGTGGGTGCCTTGGGCGGCTGTGTCGGTTCTCATCTTTGGGGGCCTCGCAGTCGGGCTATGAACGATGTCCTTGCTGTACAGGATGAGGGTTGTCTTCTGAGGGTAGTTAGGAACCCCGCGCCTCGTCGGCCACCTGTACAGTTTTTCTCCAAAGTCACTTTTGCGGCAGCTCCGGAAGTGTTATCATTTGTGCCAGGCTCCAAGCTTGTGGCCGGGACTCATCTGGTCTCTAGTCGAGTGGCACACTCGCTAAAAGGTATCCTACGCGGGACCTCTGCCTTTGATGTGCCGGCACCTTTTTCTCTCTCCACTGGCAAAGCTTGGCCGAGCAATTCCCTGTCGCAGCCTGTGCACCCTGTTGGTAGCACGGCATCAGTCCTATGGCCCACTGATGTTATGTGCCACGCTGGGCAAGGTGCCTCACCTACCGTTACCTCTGCCTTTCCTTTGGCCCAGGTGCAGCGCGAGCACAGTTCCCTGTCGCAGCCAGTGTGCCCTGTTGGCAGCACGGCACTCGCCCCCAGGTCTGCTTACGGCTCGCCCTCTCACACTGCAAATGCCTGTGTTCCAGTTCCTCTGGACGAAGGTGGGTGCCATCACAACGCCTCTTTGCAGCCTGTGCACCCTGTTGGTCGCACGGCCCTTGCAGCATCCCATGAGCCCACTGTTTTGCCGGGGGGCTTGGCACCTCGCTCCAAAGCACCTCCCCTCATCAGTGACCTGCAGGCGATGCTAGCCTCCCACGTGCCCCTTCGCCCTGAATGGGTCAGTGGCCCACTGCTACACATGTCTCCCTTTGAGGCTAGATGGTTGGCCACTTTTCTTCCGGCTGAACATGATCGAAGGCGGTTCACGGTCTTTGATTGCAGACTGGACCTTATGAGCCGGGCCTCCGGTCCTGAGTGGTCACTTCTCGACTACATCACTGCAGCGGTCCGCTCTGTGCCTTATCGTGTGCGGCTCATCTGGTACATTGTGCGACCTATCCCGGATCTGCCGACCCCTCAGTTCTCGGTCACAGCTCATGATGCGCACGGTGGCACAAGGGCTATACCAGTGGATCTGCGCGGGCTTGGCGGCATGCTTCACACTATCGAAGTGGGGCCTGGTCCCCTGCGCCCCCTCTGGGCGGAGCTCCGGGCAAAGGGCGTTGACCCTGGCAGCAGGCTAGAGCAGGCCTGGCTAGATGACCTCTGTGAGTTTCGGGATGAGCAGGGGCGGCACGTCGACGAAATTACAGCTGAAGGCACATCCCCTGAATGGCTGGCGCTCTCTTTGACTGATCCGTTTGCGCCTGTCAACATAGAGGTCGATTATGTGGGAGGTGCCGGCCCTGTTCTTAGGGTTCCTCCTCCTGTCCCTCCTCCAAGGGGACCATGCAGCACACCTGCCAGCACTTCATGCACTACCACCGCTGTGGCCGTGCAGCCAGTCACCCACCACTGCCAGGCTGTGAGTCCGGATGAGATCGCTGTGCTGCCCGAGGATCTGGCAAGCCCTGCTGAGCGCCTTCTCTGCATGGGGGCGGTACCAGGATTACGGTACCTTCTCCGCGAACGCGTTCCTCTGCAGCGTCACTATACTCTTTTTGAGCGCGCCGGCAATCTGCACATTCGGCCTTTGCGCCCTGAGTGGTCCCTTCTCGACCTGGTGCAAGATGTCATGTTGGTGGTGCCTATGTTGCGCAGTATTCAGGTGCTTCACAGTCCACTGGACCGACTGCCAGTGCTGCAAGTGGCTGCCACCGAAATGGGCTGGCCGACCGACTCTTTGGCCATTCCCTTTGACCTGCGAGGAGCTGGTCTCCAGATTTGTACCCTTGTTGTTGGTCCAGGCCTGACGCAGAGAATTTTGCATGAAGCTGTGTGGACGGAATGCGCGGCTGGCCGGAGCGGCGTTCCTGATACTGTGCCTTTTGCTGACTCTCTTGGCCGCACGGGTGACACAAGGAGGCCTTTGGCTGATGTCCAGTTCTTCGTGCCCGAGTACCCGGCGGTATGGGCGAATGACCCTGCCGTCACTGGTCTTGCTGCAGATGATACGCATAGCCCTACCAGCCCACTGAGTGCTGCCTCTGCCCCCTCATGTCTAGGGTCCACCACTACAACTACAGGTGCTATGCAATGGGCAGGGGTCAGGATCTCACGGCAAGGTGTCGACCACACCGCTCAATATATGTTGGCCGATCATAATCAGCTCGTTGTGTTCACTGCACACTCCGCTGAGTATGGGCCTTTGTCCCCCATGGGGTCCTCCCTCGCTGAAACCCTTGCCCCCCTTCTTGCTCGGATTTTGGGCAGGGGGCATGGTCCGCGTATGGGCTTCCTGCAGAGCTCCAGAGTACTCCCTATGAATGACAATCGTGTTTGGCTGGTGCCGATTATTTGGGCCGAACGCACCGGCACTCACGTGCATGTCATTTTCGATGCACGGTGTGCTCATGGTGAGCTGCAAATGTTGACGCTGCCAAGGGGCACGGTGGCTGAGCAGGTCCTCCCCTACACTCTGCAGAGTCAAGGTTGGGCCCTGTCTGTGAATGGAGTCGCTGCCTCCTGCATCAGGCGTTCACTGGAGACGGGAGATGTGATCTTCCTCAGTCGACCCAACAAGCCTGTGCCCGGGTTCCATTTTGGCCATGCCGTTTTGCTCATGCCTCACCTCCGGGTTTTGACACTGCCCATCCCGCTTGTTGATGCTAGGTCCGTCCCACAACAGCTTACGCTGGCACAGACACGGGATAACTCGGCCATCATGCGGGATGAGCTGACACGGCACATTAATGCCAGGATTCATTTGATGGGCTACGCTGGCCCTGGCTTGTGTCCTGTGACTGTTATGGGCATGCATCATGGACCGGTCATGTTATACTTGCCTGGCCCTGAACCTTCTCTCGAGCACGTCCAGCTTGTTTTGGACTCCATACCGGAGATGCCCGCAGGGGTTCGGGCCTTTCCCTGTGAAGCCTTCCCAGGTGAAACCTCGATTTTTGTGACGGCGGATCCAGAGGCTGGCACGGCTACGGCCATTGTTGCTTCTACTCTTGGATTTGGGCTTGATAACCTGATTTCGGTCCCACTGTTGCCAACTCAGCAGCACCTTGGTACTGCGGTCTATCTGGCGCCTGGCTATGTCGCTGAGCCTTTTGTGAGGCCGCAAAATGGGCACTACATACGTCGGACGAGAGTCTCTTTGCCTGGTTCCGGCACTTCTTTGGCTTGCCTTGACTCTGGACTTGATCAGGCTAAGAACGCTCGTCTTTGTAGCCAGGCTCGTGCAAATGGGATTGTGAGTCCTCGATGCCCCATGTCGGCTCAGCCCCAGCCCCTTCCTCTGCCTTCATCGGAGGCTCGGGCCAGTATCGCGACCCCCCTGGGTCGGCGCAAGTTGCCCATCTTGAAGCCGGACATTGCTGACGCACGCCACACTGGTTCTGACATTGTGAAAAGCGTCAAAGACCAAATTGATGCTGATGAAGCGCGGGACGCCCTGACTCCCCGGCCTTTGGCTGCCTCTGCGCCCATTCAGTTGGACCTTGCGACCCTTCCACTCACGGCTGCTCCAAAGAGCCGGGATGAGCTCAAGCGGTGCATTGCTGATTTGAAACGGCCGTGGTTTGGGTTCTGGCAGCCAACTTGGGGGCGAGTCCCAGCGCTGGGAGCTGATGCTTGTGCATGGTTGTACCATAGTATGGACTTCTGGCGGCCCCATCACCGCGTGCATATCTTCACGGATGGTTCCTTGCTCAAGGTGGATGGACGTGAGGTTTGTGGATGGGGGCTCGTTCTGGCTTTCGAAGATCCGCACACTGGGAGCTGGACTTCAGGTGGGTTCGCTGGCGGCTCCTTACAGAGCTTCCTTGACCGGCCGGTTGGAGCCTCCAATACCTCCTTTGATGCGGAACTTGCTGCTTGCCTTGTCGCCTTGTTATGGAGTTTTTGTCTCCCACAGGGGATGGAGGTCATTTTGTGGCACGATTGTAAAAGTGCTGGAGAGATCCTCTGCGGTGCCTGCTCGCCTCAGGCAGCCCCTTCGTTTGTCAGCTTGGCCTGCCGGCTTCGTTCTGTTGCGGTGCTGGCCCAGCAAACTGGAGTGAAGGTGCAGCCGCAGTGGATACCCAGCCACTCGGGCATTTTCTTTAACGAGGTTGTCGATGCTGTGGCTAAGGCTGGGGCTAGGGGTGATGGTTGTAGCCTACCCTTGCCGGCTGCAACCTGGAAGCTTCTGGAATCACCATTCCTTCCTTGGGCGTGGCTCGCCGACTACAACGGGAGTGCCTTCCCTTTGTTTGACCGCCTGGCGGACGGTGTTTATGAGCCCTCTGATGAGGTCCCAGTGGAACTGCTTCCCAGCACTGTTGAGCCCTCTATGGTCCCTGTTGTGGCGGAGTTGTCCCTCAAGCTTGTCACGTGCAATGTGCAGACCTTTAAGGACAAGCGCAATAGTGTCCTGCAACAACTCCTTGACCGTAAGATCACGATTGCCGGCCTCCAGGAGACTCGAACCACGCTGGACACTCGTTGCAATGGGGCGGATTTCTTTGAGTTCGCCTCTGCTGCCCTTCGGGGCGAAGGGGGTTCGTCCCTCTTCTTCTCGAGACGCCATCCATACGGATGGAGAGAGGGCCGCCCGCTTTTCTTTGACGCTGCACACTTCCAATGTGTTCATGCAGAGGCGCAGATAATTGCAGTTCAGGTTCGTGCACCGCACTTGCAGCTCCTCTGCGTCAGTGCACATGCGCCTCACTCCGGATCTCCAGCTGGAGACATACAGCAATGGTGGCGCCAGCTGGCACAGGCCTCATGGTTGCGTGGACAGCAGGGCAGGATTGCCATCTTTTTGGATGGTAACGCCCAGGTCGGTACTGTTCAGTCTGACGCTATCGGCACGCATGCTGCAGATCAGGAGACAGCGGCTGGGGCCTTCATGCGTGATTGGGCTGATCGATATGAGGTATGCTTCCCAGCTACTTTCTGCAATGCGGGTGGAGCCTGCGTCCCCAGCGCTAAAGAACCTACGTGGTTCTCTCCAAGTGGTGCTGGGTATCGCATTGATTATGTCGGTGTGCCGGGCCAATGGCAGAATGGTGTATGCTCCCCAAGTGTCCTGCAGGATTTCGAGCTGCTCAACCGGGATCATATCCCCGCACAGATCGCGGTGTCCCTCCGAATTTCCGGTCGACCGCCGGTTGCTCGCCGTCCCTTGGCCTTTCCTCGGGATCCTGGGGAATGGCCTGAGGAGTCTATCGAGCAATTGCGCCGGTGCATTGTTTCTGTTCCATGCCTGCCGTGGGGTCTGAATGTACATCAGCATGTTCATTGCCTTATTCAGGCTTTCCAACAGTTTGCTGCACTTTGTCGTCCACCTGCTCGGCGCCGCTGCAGAGCTTTCGTTTCTGAGCCGACGCGGGACCTCCTGGAGGCGAGCAAGAGGTGCCGTCGGGCTCTTCGACAGCTCAAGTCTCTACACCAGGCCCTCCTTGGGCGCGCTGCTACGGGACGGCGGCCCATTTCGTCAGAAGGCTGGACGATCGCTGATGTGCAAGTTCTCCGCCAATGGGCGTCGGACTTCTTGCGTTTTGTGCAGCGCGGATTGCGCGCAGCCATTGCCGCTGACAAAGGCTCGTATGTTCGGCGCGCGCAAGCGCGGCTTAGAGATGCTAATGACCCCTTCAATGCCAAGGCCTTTTTCGCTGCCCTGAAGGCTCTGCGACCTCCTGGCAAGCGAGTTCTGAAGCCTTTTGCTGGGCTTATCGTCGACTCTGAGGCCCCAGATGACCCTTTGGTGCGTCTCCGACAACAGCAGAAGCACTTCGCTGACCTCGAGGCGGGGATCTCTGCTGATTCGTCAGCATTTGCCGCTGGCACCCTTGCTGTGGAGCCGGGACAGCATGGGTTTTCTATGCAGCATCTGCCGGCTTGGGTTGATGTTGAGACATCTTTCCGAGCTTGCCGTGCCGGCAAGGCCCCTGGGCCGGATGGCCTCCCAGATTGGCTGTGGAAGCTTGCACCCAGGAAGTCCGCCGAGCTCTGGATGCCGGTCTTCTTGAAGGCACATGTGCGGCTATGTGAGCCCATTCAGTTCAAGCACACCATCTTGTGCACCCTTTTCAAGGGGAAGGGTTCTCCAGCTGCCATTGAGAATCACAGGGCCATAGCCCTCCTGGCCGGTCCAGGCAAAATCTTGAGGAAGCAATTGCGCCCGGCAATCCTTCGCCAGCTGCCAAACGACCCGCTTCACCAAGGAGGCATCCCCCATTCCCTGCTGCAGGGGGCGCAACATGTTGTCAGGGCCCATGCCTCCTTTGCTGCTGCACTCGGTATCTCAAGTAGCACTTTGTTCCTCGATGTCTCTTCGGCTTATTACCGTGTGCTCCGCCAAGCTTTTGAAGGAGGCTTATGCAACGATACACAGGTGTGCCAGATTTTGCAGCAGCTGGGAGTGTCACCAAGCTCGTTGCATACGGTCTGTGAGTGGCTGTCGGGGACAAACTTGATGGACAGGGCAGATGAGCACGAGCAGCTCATCCTCCGGGCCTACCTCTCTGGCTCCTATTTTACCCTCAAGCAGGGAGGGGATGTAATACGCACACGTGCTGGGACTCGCCCTGGCGACTCAATTGCCGATGCACTCTTTTCGCTGTTGCAAGCGGACTTCATGGCAGGCCTTCGGCAGCGCATGGGTGAGGCTGGTCTGCTGGAGGACCCGATTACTGCCTCGTCTTTTGGGGGCCCCAGGCTTCTGGCGCCCATCTGGGCGGATGACACAGCAGTGCTACTGGCCCATGCCACTGCGACTGGGCTCCTTGCAAAAACGCAAGCCACTCTGGCCTTCGTCCACGAGGAGTTCACCAGGCGATGCATGTTGCCCCACTACGCCAGAGGCAAATCGGAGGTCTTGTTGTCCCCGAGGGGTCGTGGTGCCCCTGCTGTCAGGCAATTGGTGCACATTAAGCAGGGCGGTCTCATCTCCTTTTGTCCTTCCAGTGGTCAGCAGCATATTTTCTGCGTCCGACGATACGTGCACCTTGGTGGATACGTGTGTGATCGCCCATCGCACTCCTTGGATATCTGCCAGCATGTTGCACAGGCCCACAGGCAAATCAGGCCCTTGCGCAGACCAGTGCTTCGGGATCCCGGGTTGCCCCTTGCTACCAGGAAGCTGGTGTTGCAATCTCTTGCCTTTTCCTCGCTCACGTCTACTGCTGCTACTTGGGGGCCTTTGACCAAGGCAGAGTTGACAGCTTGGAGGCGAGGGTACGTAGCCCTGGCTCGCACTCTTTTTCGTGATGATCGTTGGACAGGAGCGCCCACCCTACCGGGAGAGCGAGAAGTCTGTCAGGCCTCGGGCATGGCTGCTCCGACTGCCTTTTTGAGGGTCCAACGTATGATGCATTTCCAACGTGTCTGCTTGACTCAGCCTGTTCTGATGGACATGTTGGTTGCCGAAGCCTCTGCATCTGTTTCGTCATGGCTCGGGCTTTTGCGTGACGATTTGGCCTGGTTGCAGTCCTTGGTCCCGCTCCCGGACGGGGTTCTGCAGGACTTTCCCAGTGGCCTGGCTGAGTGGTGTGTGCACGATCGGGCCAACTACCGGTCGGTTCTTCGTAAGGCTCTGACTGGTGTTAGGAGCCCTCTGCATGCGCCAGAGTGGTGTCAGCCTCCCTCCGCTAATCCCGAAAGCAGCGGCGGCCACCACCAATGTCACAAGTGCGATGCGTCTTTCGCGACCTTCCAGGCCCTGACGGCGCACTTGTTTGCGCGGCACGGCACACAATGTGAGGCTCAGGAGTACAGCGGCAGCACACTGTGCCGCGCTTGTATGCGACAATTTTGGTCGCGCAAACGCATCGTCAGACATTTACAACACGATGCTCCGGGATGTTTGCGCATTTTGTCATCTCACGGCATCGAGGTGGATCGTGGTTTGCCGCCACCCGATCCCTCGTTGGAAGGCTTGCCAGCTACCAGGGTCTCAGGCCCGCAGCTGCCGCTCCACGTTTCTGTTGAAGATTTCGCTTCCAATGCTGCCGCAGGTGACAAGGAGCTTCGCTCCTGGTATAAAACATGGCGATCCCCCACTATGAATCGGTGGTTGGAAGCCATGGAAGAGTCTTGTGGGCCCTAGCTCACCAATTAATTTGCCGCACGTTTTTGATACATGTTGTACAGTTTCTTGGCGCAGCGTCGGATCAGACACCATTGCCCCGAAAGTCCCCTAATCGTGAACCCTAAACCCTAAAACCCTAAAACCCTAAACCGTGCAGGGCAATTCGAGAGAGGCACATGGTGGCAGACCGTCGCTTCTTAGCTTGCTCCAGAAGCTCTCCTCAGAGTGGGGTGTACACGTTTAAGGGTTTTTGGGTTTAGGGTTTAGACTTTAGGGTGTACACTTTAATGGGTTTTGGCTGTAGAGTTTAGGATATATATTTAGGGTATAGGATTTGGGTGTACACTTTAAAGGGTTTATGGCTGTAGAGTTGAGGATAAATTTTAGGGTGTAGGATTAAGGCCTTGAGTGTGAATATGCACAGGCTCTGGTGGCAGTTGGGACAGCATCTTCGTTGGGAAGAGTGTCTCTTGTGCAGGCCTGCCATTGGTGGTGCGATGGGTTTGTGAGAGTTGCCGACACTTAGGCATCCTGTTTGCAAGTACTCTCAGCTCAACGATGAACATGAAAGGGGTTCAAAACTTAGAGTTCAAGGTTTAGGGTTGCTCAGGGTTTAAGGTTCAGGGTTTTTGTTTACGGCTTAGGGTTTAAGGTTTCGGGTTTAAGGCTTAGGGGCTTAGTGTCCAGGGTTGAGGGATTGGCGGTATACACCCCTGCTGTCACTGCTGTCACACATGTCTTCTGACTCCTGCAGAGACAGGTCGAAATCGCAAAGTCCAAACCCGCTACCCCTGCTAATATGGGGGGATGTACCAATTGGAAGGGGGTTTGGGGGGGGGGTTGTTGTTGTATCGCCATGACTCGCCATGATAAGGGCACTTAAGGAACGGTCGCACTTCTTGCAGTCAACCCCAGAAAGTTGGAACATGGGTTTAGGATGATTAGTGCTAGGATCCCTTATACTTTATCTTGAGGGCATGGGGATTACAATGTGCCAACCTTATGGCCTCGACTATACTACTTGTTCAAGCTAACCACGATTGCCATTTGGCCCAGTTGCGCAAGATCGTCTCCTGGCCGTGCAGAAGATGCTCGAAGGGCTCTGGGCTCAGGTACTTGAAACCCTAAACCCCAATCCCGAAACCGTATGCAACCCGAAACCCTAAAATGGGCCATAAAAGTCTTCAAGCCTAGTTGGATGATGTCGGAACAACGACATTCTCAGACCCTACACTTGCTTGAGACTTCAGGTTGGAAGCTTTAGATGTTAGGGGTGTCAGACTGTTCAGATTAGGGTTTAGAACTCTCGATTTTCTTTTCAGGCGTCGTCGAGGGTGTTTCTGTGTTTGAGCAGAGTATCCCATTCTCACTACCAGTTATTGTTATAGTTGTCAGACAGGGCGGTTCTGCTTGGGAGAACTGCTCTTGCCAACACGGCATACCAGTTACTGGAACAACCTTGCCAGTCTATGCATGTTTGATGGCGAAGGTGAACTATGTGACTTGAATACTAGGAGCATACTATCCTTGATATCGTATTTGTCATCAGGGTTTCTGCATTTTTATCAACAGCAGAAAACCAGTTATCTGCAATGCTTGTATTGATGATCAGCACTGTTTTCGCCAAAAAATAAAAATCACTATCGCACAATTGACGACAGTGCTAGACGTATGGCCTGACCACAGCGCTACTGCCATGGTCACTGTGAAATGAGAGCTATTGCCGAGGTTGAATCAAGAATGCGGTCATGAACATCAACATCACGGTGGCTGCTGCCATAGTTCCCCTGAAAAATCCGCCATGATGCCCAAACCTTACCCAGAAGTCTTCTTGAGCCTACCTTCTACTATATACTATCTGTCGTCGATTCTCTGTCCATGTACTCACTTACATACGCACACGGGCATGTATGTATGAATGTACGAACCCTAAACCCTAAACCCTAAACCCTACGTATGTATACGCCCGCAGCATTTGTTCAGACCTGGTCGTCCAGGCGTCGCAAGATCTCGGAGTAGTGTCCGGCCAGCGTCGAGGACCAGCCCTGGGGACCATGGGCATCCTGGTCAGATGAAGGACATGATCCCTACACCCTGGGTTTAGGGTTTAGGGTTTAGGGTAAACCCTAAACCAAACCATAAACCCTAAACCCTAAACCTTAAACCCTGATCATACGGTTGTTCTACATGCCGTCGTCGCGGCTGCAGCCACAGGACTCCAGGAGTGGACAGAGTAGCCATAACAGTAGCTGTAGCTACAGCGGAACCCGTTCAAAAGCTGTGCTTGTTCCGGTCACTGCGGCTGCGACTGGGACCTTGCTTCGTTTTACTCGTGCGATCATCCTTTGGAGCAGCAGCTGATGTGGCAGCAGCAGTCGTGTTGTCGTCGTCGCAGTAGTACGCGCAGCAGTAGTAGCAGACGCAGTAGCAACAGGTGCTGCGGTGGCCGTCATCATGGATGTTTAGCCTTGAGGCCCTCAACTCCCAGAACGAAGAACGTGATGAGCAGGACGAGGTGTTCGAGGACTGGGGAGCGGAGGAGGTGAAGGAACTTGTCATGATGAGTACTGATCCAAAAAACATATATATATATATGTAAAAAACCACAGCCGACCTCTGCGGCCGCCGCCGCCACACCACCAAACGAGAGAGAGAGCGAGCAAGCAACTGCCCAAGGCATGCCGTGATTGTGTCTATAGTCCCACCATGCATCTGTCGACAGGTGACGACGACGACAACGACGGCAACAACAAGATCCACACCGACAAGCACCATCACCTCCTCTGGCGAGGAAAACGACTTTTCAGGCAAAACTGTTGAATTGGAACGATGTGGGGCCTTCCCGAATCCTCCTCTCAGCATCAAACAGCAGACCACTCCACGAAAGACTCGCAATCTAGTCGTAAAGCCCTGGCGTCAAATCCTAGAGTTCGGCTCCATACCTATAAACCCTAAACCCTAAGCCCTAAACCCTAAACCCTAAACTCTAGACCCTAAACCCTAAACCCTAAACCCCAAACCCATACACCTCTAAGACGTTTCGAGGTGACGGGCTCCTCTTTCGACCCCGCGGCAGGTCGAGGCATGGCTGAATCGTGCAGGGAAGCAAAGATGAATGCTCTTGCCAAAAGTTTTGGGGTTTAGGGTTTAGGGTTGCCAACTCATGCCCTCACCGTGGCAAAAAAAAGGGGGTTTTGCATGTAAACCCTGGACCTTACATCTTTATGAATCAAACTCTGCGCCCGAAACCCAAAGAAGTAGAGTCCCAGGCAGACTCCGCTCTGGCCCTACGAGCCGTGAAGGTTCGAAGTTGATGCGATGTCAGTAAGCTGAGAGCTTAGGGCATAGGCGTAGACCCCATATACCCTGGCACAGAGACCTACAGCCTAAAGCCTTTACACCCGAAACTGAAGCCATAGGGTTAGGGTTAGGGTTTTGGATTTTAAGGTTCTGGGGGTGTCGGGCATAGGGCCCAAAGGGTCCCAAAAGTCCTGAACCCAAAAAGGGTTTAGGGTTTAGAATTTAGGGTTTAGGGTCTAGGGTATAGCCAGTTTCGACTTGGTCCAGGTCTATCGAAGCAGGCGCAAGACGTCTCGATCGGTTGTAGGGTTTTGGGGTTTAGGGCTTTGGGGCTTTGGGGTTTAGGGCTTTAGGGTATAGGGTCGAGGGCTTTGGGGTTTTGGGTTCAGGGTTGTACGGTTTAGGGTTTAGGGTTTTAGGGTTTAGGTTTTAGGGTTTAGTGTTTAGGATTTCGGGGTTTGGGGTTTAGGGTTTAAGAGTTTCACCTCTCTTCCTATGTGTCTGTACGTGTGTGTCTGTGTGTGTGTGTCTATATGATGTAATATACCATAATACGATACTATACTATGCCTTATTATACTATGCTATGCTCTGCTATGCTATGCTGTGCTATGCTGTTCTGTGCTGTGCAACCATATACGATCATCTAATATAGTGCACTGTCGTACTACTGTAATGCTATATGGTATTGTAAGGGCCTCGGCACAAGCTGGCATAGAGTCTTGACCGGGCTCGGAGCCCAGACTTTGGAGTTCAAAAAACCAGGATGCAGCACACATTAGAAGCCAGCATTTCAAGGGTTTGGCGGTTCAGGATTTTTGCGGTTTCGGGGATTTAGGGTAAACGAAGAAGCCGAAGGTGCATGTCAAACCATTTAATCGGCCCTTAGTTAAGGTCAGGCAATTTACGAGGCCTATCGTTCAAGTCAGTGCCTAGCAATACCATGTCCTCCCCATCAAAGACTTCAAAGGACCTCGGGGTGGCCCATCTTATGCTGATGCCATCGCCCAAGATTCGCGAAACCCGTAATCACACATTCCTTGCTGCCTCATCCCGAAATCCTAAAGAATCAGAAACCCGAACACTGGATGATTTTGTCGGGCTTACCACTCGCTGTGCTGGGCGACGGCGGCTCCACGCACAGCGGCCTCACGGCAAGCAGGAAAGAACGACTCTTGTGAGTTGAGGGAGTTCGACGGCCCAGAACTTCAGGGCTTGGGGGCTGCGGGTTTTCAAAACCGTCTCGGGTTTAAAGCTTTGCCACGAAGACGAGGGAACAGACACTGACGACGAAGCAATCGACGACGAATGCTGCCGATACCACGACTACCACTGACACGACTACCACCATTACCATCCCGCTCCTCCTCTTCCGCCTCCTCCTGCTCCTCTTCCTCCTTTTCATGTCGACGACGGCTACCACTACTGCAGCCACGACGGCAACCAACCACCACTCCCACAAGAGCTACCTCGACCACTGCCACGGACACAACTTTGAAGATACATGTCTGGCCGGTACAGCGAGGAGCCAAGCTTGATGTGGACGATGACCAGCAGGGTCGTTGATGATTGCTGCACGTCCGCAAATGCACTCATGTCGAATCATGACAGTCAAACAACAACATCATGCAGTCTGTCTGACAACCAGCTACGGACTCAGCCATCCAGGTGCGTCTTTGCAGGAACGTTTACCTGTCCCAATTCACGAAGCTTCGTTGAAGAGGCCGTAAATTTAGAACCCTCTGCCCCCTGCAACGTGGCTCGTCGCATGTACAGCAGAATAATGCAAACACCAGCACTACCAGCACCACTACCACTACGACGACGACGACGACGACGGCATGCTGGCCCTGCTGCTGCTGCTGCTGCTGCTGCTGCTGGCTACTACTACTACTACTACTACTACCACCACCACCACGACTACTACTACTACTCCTCCTCCTCCTCCTCCTCCTGCTGCTGCTGCTGCTGCTGCTGCTCTTCCCCTGTAGACCAAGTGACAGGTTGCCCCACGGCATTGAATTCCTTCGCAGCCAGTCAACCTGCGCACGGCCCCGGGCCACCCAGACCGAGAGGTCCTGAGCGTGTTCAGGTCCTTAACAAAGGAAAAAACCGTAAATCATAATATTAAGGCTGCTATAATTTAGGGTTCCATGGTTGAAAGCACCGGGTTTTGGGTACATTGGGGTTACGGTTTGGGCTTCATGGCTAGATGCTTGTTACTGCTTCAGAGTTTAGGGTTTGGGCCCGCAGGGCTTCTTGCGAGGCTTTAGCTGTTCGGGTTCTGCTACTCTGGCAACGCTTGAAGAATTCCCGATTTACGAGTTTAGATGAAGCAGTAGTGTTACATGCCTTCCAAGTGTTGTGCATGTGGAGTGTTGGAGTGGCAAGTCGTCGTTGTGGGTGGTGTCGATGTGGCTACTGATGTTTGTTGTTTGGTTTTGCGCGCTGTCGCTGTGCGCCGGCTCTGGACGATGAGGACGAAGACGACGACCGTTGCTGTCAGTGTTTGGTGGCGTTTCCTACTTGTCACCGTCACCATGTCTATTGTAGCATTCGGGGTGCATGGGGTCCTGCCTCGAAGGTCATCATGGAAAGAGTTCAGAATTGCATTCTCGTTAGGGGTCTCTTGCTGCGGGTTTCCAAGCAACATGCAGGAAAGACTCAGAGATGCTTTTGCGCAGATTCTCAGCCGTGGGCTCGTGCACCGGCACAGGGTCCATCCAGATAGGCTGGAACGGCAGGTTCTCGAGAAGCCCTGGGCGAGAAGCCTCGAAGCAGAGCACGGCATACCAGTACTTCCACCGATGCCCAGCAATCAACATACCCATCTATCCATACATAGGACCTACATACATATCTATATCTATTCATCTATCTCGTCTGCCTCTCTACATATGTCACTTTATCCACGACTAGACTAGACCTCGACAAGGGGGAAGACTCACCGTGCCACCCCAAACAACAATAGCGCAGCTAGCAGTCGGAGCCCCACATATCCGACGAACCATTCCAAGAGTACCAGAGGCTGAAAACGGATGCCTTACCTGACGCTCCAAAATTGCGACTTAAGCCCGTATCCTCCAAACCGTACATAACCTCAACCCTAAACGCTAAACCCTAAACCAAAACTCAACTGGACCAAGCCTGGCCCCAGAGCCTTTTCACGACTACCTTTCCGCCTCGAACCCTGAAGCACCCAAGACCACCCCATCAGGCCAAAATGCGCAACGCACCGTGCACTAACCAACACCTACTCACACCGCAGGTAATTGTAAGAAGCCCTGTCGCCTCGCTGCTTGACGGGAAAATGCCCAGGACAAAAACGGGGTGTATAATGTGTATGTCAGGTCTTTAGCATTTGCGGCTTCGCAAAAGGCTCTATCGGAGGAATTAAGGTTTCGGGATAAAAAGGACTCTTGCTCTTCACTCAGACACTCCGCGATTCCCGGATTACATTGCAGACACATGTCCTGGATCTGCCGTATGTAAGTGGACACGTCTGCCATCAGCTGGCAGTACTGCTGCATCAATTCCTGAGAGCGCCCCGCACCGTAGCCCCTACCTAAGCCCCTAAACCCAAAGCCCCTAAACCCTAAACCCTAAGCCCCTAAATCCCTAAACCCTAAACCCTTCTAGACCCTAAACCCTAAACCCTAAAGCCCCTAAACCCTAAACCCTAACAAGCCCCCCAAGCTTCTGCCTCTCCAAGGCCTAGAGCTCCTCACAGAAAACCCGAGCCCGAACTAACCCCCCGCGTTCCAAGCAAGATCTGGGTAGTTCTCTAAACCAGGGTCCCTTTTTAGGGTCCCTTTTTCTTCGGTTTAGGGTCCTTTTTTGTTCGGGTGCCGTACTATATTGGGAACAAAAAAAGGGACCCTAAATCAGAGAACTACCCATCTGTAGCCTGGCTACTACAAGGGCGGATTAGGGCCCCGAGGATCAGGGGTCGAGGGTTTAGGACTTCTGGGTCCTAGCGCTTAGGGTGTTGGGTTTTGAGGTTTAGGGCTGCTTGGAGCTCCTCTTCAAACTATCCCGTGGGTTTGGAGTGTGGGTCTTCTTCCCCTACACCCCTAAACCCTAAACCCCTAAACCCCTAAACCCCTAAACCCTAAACCCTAAACCCATTAAACCCCTAAACCCCTAAACCCTAAACCCCTAAACCCTAAACCCCTAAACCCCTAAACCCTAAACCCCTAAACCCATTAAACCCCTAAACCACTAAACCCCAAAGGGTCTTCTCCCCCCAAGTTTCCGAAGATCAGGATCCTTTCTGCTTCCTCTACGAACTTCCGCCTCGTCGAAAGCCACCATGCGTCGGATCACAAGTTTAGGGTTTAGGGTTTAGGGTTTAGGGTTCAGGGTTTAGGGTTTCGGGCTTTAGGGTTTAGGGTTTAGGGAGGATCCTCATAGTACCTTGCAGCCAAGATGCTGCATTCCATCCGATGAGCTCCTTCTTATGTGGGCTAAGAGCTTCCAGCTTGTTTGCACAACAGCTTCCTGCTGAGGGCCCCTCAACCCTTAACCCCATCATCACTGGGGTTTAGATATCGGGATACGGAAGCCGCAGATATTGTGGAAGCCCAATCCAGCGGTGTTCAAAAATCTTTTTGTGCAAATCCAAGCACTGAACAGCTTTGTGTTCGCGCATAAGCCGAAGAAGGAAATGGAGGAAGGCCCGAAGGTCTCGGAAACTCGACGAACCTTCATCAACTGTCTGGTTCTTAGTAGGGAATGGGGGAATGGATCCCTATGATATTCCCTTCAGGTCCCCTTATAGTAGTCCCAATAACCCATTCCCCCATTCCCTACTAAGAACCAGACAGTCAAGCCTTCAGCACTGCAAAACAAAACACACACCCTGCACATTATCCCCCGTAAACTGGATCGATGCCCCAACTCCTGCGGCAAACTCCGAAATGCAAAACCTCATTACAACCCCTGAAAGAGCTTCTATAAACCCGAAAGCCCCGAAATCCCAAGAACAAACCCCAGGCCCATGCCCATGCCCCTAAGACTCTGAAACCGCAAACCCTGATCCTCGAGGCTCTTCGTGCCCGCCCCTGGACCCGTTCTGAGGACCTCGGCACACGGCTTCGCCGGAGCCTCGCAGCACGTTTGTGCTCGAAGGTGCAGTCTTTCCAAAGCTTCATAAGAACCTGAAGTTTAGGTATGATGAGGGTTACCAGAAGAGTTACCGTTGCTTAAAGGGTTCCCATAAGAGTTATAAGGCTGTTGAAGGTAGGCTCGAGGCTCGACAGGCTTCATCGGTGAGACTGAACAACTACAAGGGGGTGTTTCGGGGCATGTTGTACATACAGGCAGTAAGCAGAAACAATCCTGCAAGTCATTGTTTGGGTTTAGGATTGAGGGATCGGGTAAAGCCTTCAGGGCTTCGATTGCAGAGTTTCGGCTTCAGTACAGGTGGATGGCAAGCATTGAGGCAAGCGGAAAGCATCCCTAAACATCAGCACAGGCGAGCCCAATACCAATACCCGCTAGTTATGGGGCTTGCCTTTCATCACATCAAGGTTCCCTTTTTAACTTCAGAATCATTTTACGGATCTCTCCATATTCCAATTTGAGGAGCTCTCCGAAATATCCGAAGCCCAGACTAAAACCCCTACTGCAACCTTATCAAGCCCTTAAACCCCTCAACCCTAAACCCTAAACCCCCAAACCCCTAAACCCTAAACCCTAAACCCCTAAACCCTAAACCTTAAACCCCTCAAGCCTAAACCCCTAACTCGACACCCCTAAACTCCTCCTCCCTAAACCCCCTCTTTAACCCTAAACCCTGAACCCTAAACCATGGAGAGCCCTTTGCAGGAACCTGGCCTCGGTCTCTTTCGAGGGAGGTGGCAAAGGCAGCTCCTCCTGGAGGGCTTAGAGGGTTCAGGGCTTAGG